CTCTCCCATTAGCCAGTCTCCACAACAGGACCAAATATAAACTCTTTCTATTTATGACAGGGTAAATGATTTGTACAGAGGCATCTCAGAAATGTAGGATGCATCAAAGTGTATCTTTTGGGATTCTAGATGGAATTTATTAGCTTTTGCCTTCCCAATTTACATAAATATTTTATTCTAACCAGTAATGGTTAAAAAATAGAAAGAAAATTTAATCATATCTCAAAGTACAGTATCTAATATAGGTTCAAGATTGATTACAAATGAACTCATACATAATCAAGCAAACAGAACACAAGATTACAGACTGGATCCTTCTAAACACTTTGTAAATGTCAAAGCATAATTATTGCATGAGGAAAAAGTAAGCAACTAAGTAGGCACCTCTAGACAAAACAAGCAGGAAAATGTTCATTCTAAAGAAATATAATGATTGAAGGTTATATCTAGATGAGTTAGTGGATATAAGCGTGATCAGACTGTCATGTCTACAACTGGCTGCCAAAGTTACATGATTTGTCTGGAAAAGCTCATATCCCCTTGTTTTTCTCCCCCATTTCTCCAGGAAATTTATTCCTGGAGCTATACTCTCCCTTGAAAAGAATGACCTTTCTTAACAGAAAGAGTCTTCTAGTTAAGGAATACACTAAGGTTTATTTCCAACTGTAGAACTCATTACTATTGTAGACTTAGTTTCTGATTGCTAAGTAGGTTTAAAATTACATGCTTTTGGCCTATGTCCCAGAAAAATGAGTGGAGATAACCTATTTTGGTATTTCAAAGACTGGAGAAAAATGCAGAAGAGGGATTGAGGCCCTCAGGAAGGAAGAGAAAAGAGTGGGTAAATATTGAGCAATAGAAAAAATTGTGACACTGCCTTCTTTTATGATCTTAAGGATAGAATTATTCCTTATTACTCTGATTGGCATAAGTGACCCTTGGTTAAAGAAAGGTAAATAGTTTAAATTCTCTAATAACAATGTTTAGATAGTGTATAAATAAATATACCTTTTTAGCATTTGCTTGACCAAAGCCCCAGTCAAAATTTGTGTTGTTTTAATTTCCACACCTAAAATAGAGAATAGCAACATATAAATCAGATACTAATCAGTTCATGTATAGATGGCATTGATTTACTAAAATGTTGAACAAAGTTTTTAGTAAATTCTAGTTTTTGATTGGAAGTTTACTTTTATATAAATAATCACTAATGAATAACACCTCATTAAAGCAAATTAATAATTTTATGCTCTTTTACATACAGAGCAGTTTTCTTATCATCTTCCTTACTTGACAATTTTATCCTGCAATAAGATTTGAGTGAAAAAAGAGCCAACAAATATTAATGTCAACAGAAAGCTAATGGTGAAAGTGAGATGAAAAATATATACCCTGCGATAAGTCTGTACTGGATATTTGAAGAGGGTTTGGAAACCAATGTTTCATCTGGGTTTTGGGCCATTAAATAATTCTAAGAGTTGTTCTATCAATATTATCAGAAGTAAACAGTTTAGTCACTATGTATTCTATAACAAAGAAATCAATTTGAGAAAAATATCAAGAATTCTGGGTAATTCAGGAAAAAAATCCATTTCTTAAAATCCTTAGTTATCTAGATTTTCTATATAGAATCTCAAGCTTGTCAAATAATTTTTATCTTTTAATATATAAATGTATATTTCTTCTGCTTTGTTGAACCTTACAGACTTAATTCCTATAGAAATCAGCTAATTCAGTGCAATTCCTTTTGTTTGGTGGAAGGGGAGGAGAGGAATGCTTAAGAGAAAATACCCGAACTTTGAGCTGTGCACAGAATAGCAATAACATTTAAACACAAGCGGTTCTAGTTTCTGGCCCCGATATCTTTAAATAGAACTCACAAATTCT